TTATTTTCCAATAAATCCAAATATTGAGTAACTACAGATGATCCACGAGGACACTTCGAGAGACGAGCTTCCTACAATTAATTCTAAAAAATTAATTTGTATTACCAGAACTCGACATTTGAAGTGCTAGAAAATTCAAATCTCATCACCCATGATGCTGAATACATACACAATGACAAATCTTTTTAATCTTTCAGTGGTTTTTGAATAAAGGAGTGAGCCATTAACCTATAAATTTACACTAATGCACTAGAATCAACGTTGTAAAATGTGCATGATGCCATGAAACACATACTAGATCTTCGTAATCTTTGAAAGGTCGATTCTTAATTATATAATCAAAGAGTTTGTCATTCATCCGCGGTGCTTTCATCATTGTACTACGATTACCCTCGTTGAAAAATGAAACACAGCAGTTTTTCAAAACTATCGATGAAGATGTAGCTCTATGACTTCGACGACTCACAACCTGAATAACTCAAATACATTTGACGACGTCTAACAACTTTTAACTTTCAGTTTGCTGATATATGACTCATTCATAGCTTTATTAAAGTTGAACAGATTATGAACACGAGCAGTGACTGATTTTAGCAGCAGATAAATTGCAAAATTCTAAATCAAGTAAAACTGCTTTTTGTAAAGCAAGTAAATATAATTTACTTCGTATGATTTCAAAACGGGACCTCAGCAAATGGATACACACCTGGTCACTATTACTATCAGTATCGCTTTCGTATACCTGCGCTGAACTATATGAATCGTTATGACCACTACTCTCACTGTCATCGCCGCTTAAGACAGCCTTTTTTCGATGCTTCTTCACTCTTTTCACCATAATCTTTAGACTTATTGGAGTCTGTAACAGAGTATTTAATTAATTATTTAATTAATCAGTAAAGTAAGATTAGCAGCTGAATCAATAACAAGCAAAAAGAGTCGAATTTTTACAGGTTCTCTGATAATTTTCAAACATTTGAACAAGCCTTCTTACCATCAACCAGTCTTGGCTCATATTTTCTACACCTTTTTGCATTAACTTAGAGGCATAATTTCCAAAACTTACATTTTCGTTATCACTTCCTGGTTCCTCATCGCTAGATGATGAAACAATGGCTCTTTTCCGCCTGTTTCTGGTGCGTATTTCCTGATCAGAAGAATGCTCATTATCTTCTTTCGATGAACCATAAAGTCTTGGCTTACACATCCATTTTAACGACTGCTTTGCATCACTTTTTTGATCATCTGATTCACTGTCCGTTAATGTTTTGAGCCTTTAATATGATTTGACTAGCAACCATTAAGAGTTTCAAATTATTAACTTTCAAAAGTTATTTGATATTATCATTCCCAAAACTCTTTAATATAACAAATGCGAATCATGGTTTTAAACGACTGCTTCGATAATGTTTTAGAAAGTTCTAAATAATACAGTATTTCATTAATCGTCAAGTTGATGAACATCAAAGCAAAAAATAATTTTGAAGACGCCATTTTATATAAGATAATTTATGCTTAGATATTTGCTTGTGACTATCGAAAATCTGCATAAAATGTAGGTAAAAGAAGATTAAAAACTTATATAGAGTTCCTAGAAAAGTTAATCTCTTCTCAATACGGGTCTCACCTCAAACATGGGATAAATGCTATCTTAAATTTATTCTTCTCAACTGATATACAAAAGAATTTTACACATCAATCAAATTTGGGAAGAAATTAGCAAATACCTTTCTTGAAATGTTAAATCCTTATCAATGCTTGGTACTGATAAGAATTCAATCCTAGACGATGATACTTTCAATTCATCTGCTTTGTCTTCAGTTTTATTTATATCAGCATTTTGTCCATCACATGAGTTGCCAACAGCAGAATACAACGTTTTTGAAAATTTCTTATCTTCATCAGCTGATTCATTCTCAAATGATTCTTGAACTTCCGATGATGGCGTCAAATGTCGTCCACGACAAAAAGATCGCGGCTTCTTGATTTCTAAAAACTTTTTAATAGACTTCACGACGTAAATCATGGAAAAATTAAGCACAAAATTGGAGAAGAACGTTTCAGGAGACCTTACAACATGTTACCTGTTTCATCGCGCTGAAAATGCATACGACTATCTCTCTTGTTGTTTTTCGATGAAAGTAAATTCACCATCTGTAAATTTTTCCCAAATTTCACAAATTCTTTAACATCTTCCAAAACAAAATCGAAACTATTACTTCAGTACTGTTTGCACACTTATCCTAGGTCACATGTTATCAAAACGGGGCAATACTAACAGTGCAGTAAAAGATATCACCGATAGTTATCCAGAGGGAATTTGTAATTTCGACACAATACTAAGACATCAATGAAATGATCTAACTACACAACAGTATAGTAAGACCAAGATGCCTTTCCCCAAGCCATGTTTAAATGTAACACATGTTCAATAACTAGGAACTAAAATGACAAATGAAGAAATGTATTACTACCATAAATTAATGATAACCAGTCATGAAAGATTGAAAGCTCAATAGGTAGCAAAGTTTTAAATGCACTTTTCACATAAGTTTTCCTTCCCACATTGAATATTAGGCTGCTAGCTTGCTTATTTCGTATGCAAAATCATTTTCTGATCAAAATTCAACTGATTTGCACTTCGGAAATGACTTCCAAATGGATAAATGGAGTGAAATGACCTGCGCGACAGATTGCTTTTTAAAAGCTAATCCGCGGATGATATCCTTCGCTGAACCTTTCGGTTGATGAGCTACGCGACGTTTCGTCCCTTCAATGGCCTCAAACGACCCCGCCGCGCTCATTTCTCTTAAACTGTTTTTTTGCTGTGAACCCAATGTTTTCAGAACAGCTGCTTTATGTTTGCGGTCCGTTAAATTTTTCAATCTCTTTGAGAAAGGCTCTAGTTAAGGAGCGTTATTTTTAAAAGTTGGACAAGGATTTTTTCTAATCATAAATCGAGGGCACTATGCAAAACAGCAATACGTGATAAACAGAAAAAGCAATTTTTGTGAACTATTATTCGACGAAAAATAAGTTTCATGAATATTAGCGATTTGACCTGAACTGAGAGTGTCCAAAATTTGATTGATTGGGATAGGTCATTCAGCTCTGGTTCAGAATATTATTTATACAGTGTTTAAAAAGTTAGGAGTATATATACATAGAGTGATTTTGAAGCGAGAAGAAGCCCATAATGCGTTCTTAGCAATTACTGTACCCCATCTAAATACTAGGTATAAACTCGCAGAAAATCCTACTGTCGAAAACATTAGCAATCCAGAAGGCGCTCTTGTATAGCGTAATAAAAAAAACTCGTCATGCAAAGATATACAAGCTGTGCAGAAATGAAGTACCTCAATGTCGAGTTCATTAATGTGGCTACAGTACGAAAATATTGCACTGCAAGATGGAGCACGATACCGTAACCTTCAGGACAGAAATATGTTTGGTACTGAGGGAGGTATGTGTGGACATTGTAGGGAGTGTGAAGACGGTGGACCTTTAAGCAACGCAGCGCGTGAAAATATTATGCCATGACTACACTAAGACACAATGACTCCTGCGATGATGTATCTATTCAGGACTTTGCAAAAAGAATGGTCCAAAAGCATTTCCACGCATGCGGAGCTACTTCGTTCAGGAAACCGTCGCTAACGAGAACGTTGAAATCATAGTCGACATGCAAGTAAGAACTACAGGGAATTAGCGATCTGATTTCTCCTGGAAGGATTACAGTCTTCTGCATATTAGATTTCCATATCAGTTGTGTCAAATTGTGAAAAATACTGTCCACAAAACATATTCGTGGAGTTTCCTTCAGCTATGCGCATTCCCAATTGTTGCAGTAGCTATTTTTTAGACGAAATTATCAAATTATAATTCAACAAATACAACAAGTTACAACTAAAACTGTATTTTCTGCACATTACAACTGCTTAATTATGGAAGATGGATGCGTTTGGCGATATGACACACAGGAGACAATTGTGGTAATGTTTGTCGTGCGTCTTCAACTTCATCAGTCTCGCATTCGTTCTCCATTTCTGTTATCGGCAGGAAATGGTTTCTGGATCCGTTCACTGCAACGATATTTGATGGTGGTTGCATATTGCTGCAAACATTTGTGTCTATACGAAAATGTAAACTTACGTCTAAGTTACTGATCTAAATTCTACCTGAATTACTAAAACTATTTGTTATGAAGCGAACAATACCTTTGAATTATAAATATAATGTAAAGTTTCAGATATTCTCACTTCTTTAGTGCCACAACTTTCGTAACATCTTAATTAGATTCAACGTATTTCAAGTTTCTACGAGACCGATCGTCAAGATCTCAGTGATAGATTAGTGTAAAGTAACAAAAATTCTTACCCTGCAGACGAGACTCTTGAATTAAAAGATGTAGTAGGCCTACTAGACGATGTGTATAGCCTTAATTTTTTTGATTTTATCAGATCGTTATTTATTTTATGTAAATTATGTTGTAAAGTTTAGCAGATCTGGCATTACTTCCATGCTTTTCAGTGTGCAAGATAAGAGCAGATATGATAGTTGCTTCAGACCACATGCACACTATAGGACAAATATAGTTTCAAAGTGGCATATTTATACTAAAAAAAAATTACGTGGGATTTTCAAGCGTTCTGCTAAGTCTTGCTTCCGCTCGCTTATCTGGCAATTTCCATGAGGGATTCTCTTTTGACCTTTCAGTCACCATCTCTATTATTATTCATTATAAATATCGAAAAAATAATTCATACAATGCAATAAAAAATATAATTAATCAATAAAATTTACGAATTTTTGAACTTTTTTCTTTTTGTGGACCTTTCTTCACCCAGTACATTCCCTCGTCGTAAAATCTATTTTCTGTAAACTTAGACAATATAAACAATAACTTAGACAATGTGTGATTTAAATTTTCAAAATTTGATATGTATTAGATCAAAGTTCTAGCGAATCTTTAGTGCTTCAAAAATAATGCAGAAAATGTAATAACAGTATTAAGTGAAAGTTGAAAAGCAACTCACAAGTTTTTCATTACTGTAAGCTTACCTGCTCTAAGACTCACATATTATTAAAAAAAAATATTTTATTCAATCTCAAGAGCACAAAGTTTTTCCAGCATTGTTTGAATATTGCTAGCAAATGTACGATTCTCAATTTTTGCTGAAAACTTGTAGTAATGCTTTTTACTTACTGAAAAATATTCGCAAATTTTTTACTCATATAAAAGCTTAACGAACTTGGTAATGCATTAACAGATGCAGAGACTGGTGAGTGGAACGTTGGATTCAGCCGAGTATTTTGTCCTTCTGAATTAAGTGGAACTTCTACATCAGTTGTGCCATCCAAAATATCGTCATTCGCTGCATTCTGAGCATAAAAAACTTTGTAGTGTAAGTTGATTGCATTACTTAAGTATTTTTTTGGAAAACTGTTGGGAAAATGATATAAAAACAGATTTATTTAGCCAAAATTGAACAGCAAATATGGTTGCTTATTTGAGTATCATACTAAAATGATTGCTTCGAATGTTCTAAAAATAAAACTTCTTGCTAATTGAATAAATTTTAGATATAAGAATAAGTCTATTAATTTTTTTACTCTTTCATCTTTTCTGAATTAAGTTTCAGATACTTTATCAAAGTAACATAAATCTAGCTTATTAATTTCAATTTTGAACTATTATCCGTCACACAAATTCAATGTCAGATTGCTTTATAAATGCTACAACAAACAGTAGATGAAGCTTAAAAAACAGTGCTAAAATGAAGATCTAAATTTCACGAACATTACGCGATGAAACATCCTTTGACTGATTATTTGTATTGGTTTGATCAGACTTTCGTTCTACCGTATCATCCGCTACAATAATTTTTTTGGATATCGAAATAATTCAGATTTTTTCTCGGTAGCAGTTAGAAGATGGCTTTTATCAGAATTTTTCTAATAAAAACATAAGAATTTTTGTTCCACATAGTAGAACTTTTTTTCCTGCATGCATAAATTCGGCTCATATTATGACTTGATCTAGCTCAGTGATTCTAGTTAAAAATTAAAATTGATGAAAAACGCTGTTGCTTGACTGTTGGAGGTCAAGTTCCTCGAATAAGCAAATACTGCTAACATTTGTCAGATGGTTCTGCAACGAGAAGTATCCGTTCGTTTGGTTCGACGCAATTAATTGGACTGCTTAAACGACCGATACGATCAATCCATTCTTGTACAATATCAGCATTGACTTGATGCCGATATGCTTCTGGCTAAAATGTCAATTTTCACGAAATTATTAACGACAGCTGAAATTCAACTAAAGATCGGAAGATTACATCAAGTAAGACAATATTCCCTACGCTTATCCAATGTACTACCCACGTATAAATACAAAATATATAGCTTAATATATAATTTCACGCAGTAATCACTACTGTCATGTTTTCTAAATTTTTGAGCATTGCAAAATAAGATATTCTATGAGCACTTTCTTCCAACAAAATGGCGCTAAGAATTAAAATAAAGCTTAAAAACGTCTAAAAGTAAAAGCTTTTCATGCGATTACTCAGCTATTAAACGTTTGCTGTTAGAAGGCTTACAATCATTTCCTTTTGTCAGCTAAATTAAATTTAATTCTGGAAGTGAATGACCAAATCTATTCTTTCATCTCTATGTTTACAAGAATAAACTTATTAAAAAAACTTACTTCAAATTTAAAAATCTAAAAACCGATGCTTAATAGAGATAGTGAAAATACTTACTGTTTATAATAGAATCATGATTTCTGATATTAATTTTCAAGAATAATTAAATAGAGAGAGTGAAATAATTGACCTTTGCTATGGTCACTTTGTCAGGATCTATCTCATCTATGCTTTCATCGGTGTCAATATTGATCTGAAATTTTTCAACATGGCTAAGATCTAATACAAATTTATCCTGAAGATTGAACATCATCAGTGATCACAAGAGTGATCATTCGGACTTTATATGAATTCTTTTTAAATACTTTTTGTTGAGGCCTGTGTGTTTTTTTTCGCTTTTTTCCTTTCCATTTTTCGGGAGAATCATCAGCTGTTTCAGAAGTGTCAGAATCGAAGTCAGACTCTTGCTCTTCCTTCTCCTTAATCATTTGCTAAGTTTTATTCAAGTCACTTAGTTTAAATCAAAAGCAATGCAAAGTTAGATCAAAAATTTTGAAAGGTCATTTACCAGAAAAAAAATAAACAAAAAGAATCAATACAATAACATTATTTTCGTCTAAGTTAGTCCTTTTCGATTCTTCTTCTGCTTCTTTTTTATCATATCTCCAAATTCTTTTAGGCCTCTGAATTTCTGGAGTTCTTCTCTTAGTAGCACGAATCTTTTCCTTCTTGTAAACTTCATCTTTCTTCAAAAGAAATCCTTTGGCAAAATAATCATTAGCAACAGGGACCACTTTTCAAATCAAAATTCACAATTGTAAAAAGCTTTTAAAATCTGAATCCTTACTTTCGGTTTTTCTATCTTCCCGGAACAAATTTGTTCGGATGACTTTAATTTGCTTTCTTGCTTCATGGTTTTTTCAGACGGTGATTGTGCCGTTGTCGTAGTTAGCATCTGATGTAAATATTTGATGTTCCAAACTTTGCATAATCAAAAAGATACTCATATCTTTACCTACATCAGTATGCAAATTTACTTCAATTTCCTCAAGAATTTTTTTTGATAGATTGATGTCGCTTTCTACGGGAAGTAATCGATGAATCTTAGGTTGTGATGCCAAATCTAATAATTTAGGTTTCTGATTTGGATTCGATAGTAATCTATGATCTGGTGTCAGATTAAAAAAATCTGAAAAAAAAAAGAACATTGTAAACTAATTTATACCTGTGCAAATTATTAAAAAGTGTTCATTTTTATCTAAATTATACCACTTCGTTTCATTTGCAAATGATGTCGCAGACACTATGTTTGCAATAGAATTTAACAAAATTAAAAAGAAATACTGTAGTTTTACTGCTAGTACCAAAGCAAAGAAGTTTACATGGCTTAATAATGATATTCAGAAGTCGAGAACGGTTCTTACGGAAATTAAATTAGACAATTTTGTTTTCAGTAACATTTGTTAAAACTCAAAACATACGTAAATGTTTTTTGAAATGAATGTTACAAAATTAAAAAGAAATATCGTAGTTTTACTGTAGCACGAAAAGTCTTTCGTGCTGCAAGCATACATTACTGCTCCATTTTTTCTCACTTACTAAAATTTTCAAATTATTCATTCATTACTGAAAAGATTACTTTCTTTGGAGAGAAAAGGAAAGAAGTCTTTAGTGGCAGCTTTGTTTTCTTTCCCCGTTGAGAGCAACTGTAAGTCAAGTTTCTTGTGGTAATCGTCAAGTCTTAATCGGTTTTCATCTTCTCGTCGAAGCTCCAATATTTTTTCTTCTTCTCTTCTAAATTTGGAGTTTCGTCAGTTAAAAGCAAAACTTTTCCTTTTGATAATTGTATTTACCTAAAAAAGTGAGTACAAGTGAAGTGTACTGTACCTTGACTTGCGTCTGTAATAAGCGCAGAGGAGCCATATGGCTAAGCACCCCAAAATAAGAATTATAATAAAGAATATGAATATTGTAATAATCATCCATAATAATGAACTCGGAGGAACACAACAGCCTGAATAAAGTTACACTCTAATTGAATTGTTCAATTTTGCTTATACAGTATTACTTTATTTTACTTAGGCAGTACTTCCATTAATGTTTAAGTATGTATTTTTGAAAATGTGGGCATTATTTGGGATTAAATTAAAATCTTTAAACTTAATTTGAATGTCATATTCTATTTTTAATGTTTTGATAGGTAAGAAATTTTATTCCTTCTCAACATATCGACAAGAAAATTTATACCTTTAAATAAACTGCTATATCTCATTTGAATAGCAGCTCTGAAAATCAAACTGCATGAGTATAGGCAACTCTACATTTTGCATTCTTGTCTCCATAACTTTTATAAAAGCAGAGCAATTTTAAGAATGAAAAAACCAAAAACTAGTAAATGCTATCGTAAAAAATTAGTTTGTAGTCTGATTAGCAAATATCAAAAATTTTTAACATTGAATTTTGAATAGATAACATTTGAAAATTAGTGTTATCAATTCAATTCGCGCGCAAATAAACAAAAGGTTACGAGTAAGTTTAGATGCTTGTAATCTGACGGAAATTTTTGGCATTTGCTGCTTCTTTGATTAACTGAGAATAAAATTGAAGTTGATTTGGCTCAAATTAATAACTATCTCTCTATTCATACTAATAGCTATTCAAAGCCTCATATTATTGCATTTTTGCTTTCAACAAGGACAAATTATGCCAATATCTCTTTATTGTAATGAATAAATATTTTTAAAATTCGCTCTTTAATAGATTAGTCTTTAATAGATTAATAGATTTTTATATTTAAATTGAAAACTTGATTTTTCAACAAATTACAAATAAACATATTTTGGCATTTGTTATTGAAGTCAATTTTGATATTTCGGTGCTACCACCAAATGTAATACATTGAAACTCAATATTTTCACACTTCTTACAAGCAAACAACCATCCAGGCAAACGAATCTGCTTCAAATGAAGCAAGTATTACTCGAAAAATATTCAACTTTAGAATTTTGTTAGCTAAAAATTTGTGCTATTTCTGTTTATTCACCTTCCCATGTTCGATTATTGAGTGAATAAGTTAGGAATATCAAAACATATGCAGCGAAATCCCCCTTCCTGCAGCTGAAATGAACGCTAAACCTGAAAATCAGCTCGTCGTTCAAGTATTATTCACTATGAACTTAATTTCTGTATCACAAAACATTTTTCATGCCATTTTAGCCAGTCGTTTAGCTAACATTCTTCGTATGATAAATGTTCTAGCTATGTGCAAAAATCTGTCACTAATTTGAGCAAGAAACCTGCATTGTATTAATTTTGTAAATTTGACATACTGCCGAATTGTTAATGCAAAAATTGCCTCGTATTCAAGTAAACAGAAGTAGTGCTCTTCACACAATTACATTATTGCATCTAGTTACTCTTTTACAATAAAATATTAACCTCGCAGAAGAAAATTACTACAGTTTGCTACAAAGAAAGTCATTTTTTCCGATGAATGTGTCAAAACTGGAAGTCTATAACTTTCAGCACTTTCACACTGATTTTTTTTACAACAAAGTAAAAATGATCTAAAACGAAAGCAGAAGCAATTATCATATTTTCCATTCAATCTAATTGCATGAAAATAACTTGCAACTCCACTGAAGACTCACCAAGTACCAAAAATGATGGAAATTATGATAATTGCTTCTGCTTTCGTTACATCAATCTTGGATAGTTTTTCAAGTCATTAAGCTAAACTTTTGTCCAAAGCTTATCTCAACTTAGCTATTAAATCGTTCGGAATATCTTTCCAAGATGTAACCAGTTCAAGTTGACGCAAATATGAAATGATCACTACTTTTTCATGCTTAGCTATTATATATGCACAAGTGACAGCGCTTCGACAACGGATGAATAAAGAGTATGGTTTTGCATGAGTTAATAAATTTGCAGAATTCTGTCTATAAATTTTAATTTTCAAAATGATCATTTGAGGGGCCGCATTCTTACTTTGCTATACGCACCTACTACGACGCATTGTTCGGTTCGTCGTTTTGGTGAATAATTTTATTGAAGTCGTAGTTTTTCTAGTGGTTTAGGACCGGATTCTGTTTCAGAAACTGAGACTATGTCAACATCAAGGAAAACAGAAACACCACATGTCAGCAGTTTATTTCTTCGAGAGCGTTATTCTCTCTCTATGTTCCAACGTTTCTTGCTGTATTCGTATATTCCATTCGGTGTATTCCTATTTTGCTTACGTGTGATTATTGGTGTACATATCTTTCTTACCGCATGCATTTTACGTAAGACAATGTTTTTAAGGTGTACGGTAAGCATTTTTTAGTATTTATATCATAGTATAAACCAGCTAGAGTTGTTTGCAGTATAAAGTGATCCATTAGTTAAAAAGGTATTTCGAAGCTTTTTAGTTTCTGTTCCCAATTTTAGTCTTGTTAATGTCATATATTTATTTTGTATTTTTGATTTCATATCTCTACAGTAGATATATTTTCAATGAAATTTCAAATGGAATTTATTTTACATTAATGCTGAAAGCTAATTTATATTTGATCAAATGTCCGTACTTGTTTTAATTTTTCATAGCAGTGTACGACATATTTTGCACAACGCAGTTATCGTATATACTTAAACCTTTCTATTTATTGTTAAATGCTTCTTGTAATGAGTTTATAATGAATTCGTGATTTCTGAAATAGTGCTTTAGGTTTTACGGGTGATGTCTTGCTTGCTGGGCTTGGTGGTATTAAGCGGTGGACCAGCTAAAAGTTGGGATCAAAAAACACGTCTTTTAGTTGCTAATCATATTTCAACGCTTGATCATATGGCAATTGATTTAATCGAACCTTGTATTTTACCATCAGTGTGGGACATACCAAATATTTTACGCTGGTAAGATCTGCTAAAAATATGTTGTTTGTAAATATGATTTCTTATGTTTAAAAACTCGATAAGACTTGATCTGTATATTTTAACATTTCCTCAGTTTTGTTCTACTAAATTTTTAGGTGCCTGGGATACAAAGATTTGGGTGCTCGCCATGGACGGGCAGAACTTATACGTCGTTCAAAAATTTTCTGCGAAAAAAGTACTGTGCCTTTGCTTACTTTTCCAGAAGGAGCTATGACGAGTGGTTGCACTGGTCTTCTCAAATTTAGTACTTGGCCATTTGAAGTTAGTTTTGTCTCTCATGTTTTTACGACAACAAATGTTGGGATTCATTTTCAAACTTATGCCAATTTAGGTAGCTGATTCAGTGCAGCCTGTATTGATATCAATATATCGACCGTTTTTTTGCAACATTGCTGCATCCGTTTTGGGTGGTGCGTGGTGGCAAGATGTTTTCTATTTTCTGTTTGTTCCTCTTACAATCATGAAGGTATTATTGAATATAAATTTTAGGGAATTGTAATGAGCTCGAAGTTTACAGTCAATCAAGTTCACAATTTTGCAAGCGTTTAACGCGTGAATTATTGCTTATGGGTTTTAATGGATTGTAAATTATTGTAGTAGATGAAAAACTATCATATTTAAGGACTGCTTTTGTTTAATTTAAATTCTCAATTTGATGAAACTTCCATGTGAATATGTGTAAATTTTTAGGTGCACTGGCTTTATCCTTTGTATCGTAGAAAAAATTCGAACTCTAATGAAGCTGATGAAACTACTGAAGAGTTCGCTAAACGAGTTGCTAATACGATGGCTACCAAATTAGGCTTGCAATTTTTTCTACTTATGATTTGTCATTTTTTAATAACTCGATTTTTGTGCCGCAACCAAGGTAGCTTTTTAATTTATTATTAGAGATTACTTTGCATCAGTTTAGCTGTCTTAGGTATTACCACGACAACATTTACATCTCAAGATGCAGTGGAAGAAGCAAAACGACATCTTGAAGAAAGCCATCAAATGTATTTAAGTGTACAATTGGATGATAACTCTCCAATGAAAAGTTCATCTTGGAAGTGTTCAAGAAGTATATCAGAACATCTCGATTCTTTAACAATGAAAATTAAACAAGCTTTTCCAGCAGTTCCTCTAGTTATAATAAGGTCAGTTCAAAATTTTCCAATTAAAAAAAACTTTCATTTTAACGATTTGCTTTATAGTTCTACATTTTTGATCATTTATAGTCATAGTATTATATTTTTCAGAATGTGAAAATAGGGAGGTAAAATCCAAGTTCTGCTTTTTCAACTCATAAAGCTTTTTGTAGAAGAGATTTGGAACAAACACAAGATGGCAATGTAACATGTGAACGTATTGCGACAGGAAAAATAGACCTGCATGCATCAAGCACTGGTAATTTTTCGCCGGGAAATGATCTCCAACTGTGGTCAAAAGTGTACAGTAATCGAAAATGGAATCTAATTGAATTCAATCGAGCTAAATATTTGAAACGAGTAGGCGAAAAGTTATCTGGTACGCAATCTGGAGTGGGTACTTAGTGACATTTTCGTGCATTTTGTTTGTTTTCTTATACATTCGTATAAAGTTTGTGTTGTATTTTCGAATTATGTGACTGTAAAGTTTTGTGTTATTATTAATGCCTTGTAATTCTTTTAATTTGTCTATACTATTTTATTAATTTTTACGTGACGGAATTTTAGGTTGATGGCAGAATTCTAAAGAATCTGGTGAAAAATTTTATACATAATATGTAATTTAAACGTGTTTTTCAGTGTGAAAATAATCGAAAATGTGTGGTTTAAATGGAAAGATAAAATAAATCTTGGGAAAATTATTTGTTCGGTCATTTCACATTAGATATCATTTTCCGTAATACGGATGGTCAAAAATCCTTCAACGCTTGTTTTTGTGGATGGGTCGTTTCATCATTATA